GTTCTGCATGGAGCACTGGGTGTTATGCACAAACAATGAATCATGGAACACTACATCCAAAACTAATGAGGTAATGTATGGTGATTAACATAACAATAAAAAATAAAAACAAGCATAAAATTGTTTAAAATAATGGCAAATCCTTTCAATATGAGCCTTAAAGACCAAAATTTTCAAAATAACTTACCTTTGCAGAATTCATGAATGAAAAGCTGTCAGAGATGGAACCACCGCTGTGACCAACTCAAGGAAATAACATGAACATTGGGTCCAGGCGTCATGCAATGCAGGGGCCCTGTGAACAAGAGCTCTGCAGCTGGCTGGGGTGGTGGTGGGGTGGCTGATACCCATCTTATGGCCAGATAGATGATTCTGTTTTCAAATGCTGGGCCTTACTTTGTTTGTGCTTAGGGAAAAATAGGTACAGCTTTTGAAGTTTTGGCCTTCAACATAACAGTATACCTTATTCTAGAATAAGGTGAGAATCATATGCTGCTTGAATAATGTTAGTTTAATCATTAATTTTACCCCTTTTTAATTTTCTTTTTCCAGAAGAGTCAAGTGAAAAAAGCTTTGAGCGCTATCATTTCTTGAGGCTGGAGAAGAGGCGGAATGAACCCCGTGTTGTAAGTCTTAACAATAAAGCAATCACTTCTCTCATAACTGTTGAATAATTTAGGCTCTTTTTACCAGACAAGAGCTTGATTGCATTGCTAGGTTTCCTGACTTAAAGGAGCAAGGTAGCAATAGTAAAAATGGGCAAAGAAAGCTCAGGGCTGGATGATAAAGGCCAGGATATGTATGAAATTAGCACTGAAGGTGCTATCAGGCTAATCCTATGGGGGTGAAGAGGCTTGGGGGGGCGGTTAGCCACCCTGAATGACTTAGATCAAGTTATGAGAGAAGTCTAGAGACATTTTCTAAAGAAAAGTGATCGAATATAGCTCAATTTTAATATAAATTATGTTTTTGTGAGTACACAACGTGAATTATGTTCTTGAACACTTATCTGAAGTAAATATACTTGGACACCTTCCTTGCCAAGCACTGTGCTGAGACATTGGGAATTCAACAATGAACAACACTTACGGAGCTTACTTCCTAGTGGGAGGGGCTAAAAGGCAACTACTGGAGCCACGAATGAGGGGGATAAGCAATACAAGGAAAGAATGCGTGCTATGATAGATCATAACAGTACTTGTAGCTGAAATGATCCTAAAAGGCCTTTTAGGGGGGCACTTGAGAAGTGGGGATGGAAGGAGAAAAGTTAGATATCCAAAGAAACAGGGAGTAGGGGATGTGGAACATTCTAGGCAAAAGGAATAGCGAACACAAAGACCCAAGTTATGAAAGGGGTTGACAGGTTGTGTATGAACAGAAAGAAGCCCAGTGTGGCCGAAAGCATAGGGATCAATGAAGAAAGTTCCAGAAGACGACATTGCAGGGGCAGGCAGAAGCCTGATCACGTAGGACAGCAGGAGACCCCATACAGATTTTGCTCGGGGGTAGTGGATTTTGGACTTTTGAGCTCCAGAACTGCTAAGAGAATAAATATGTGTTAAGTCACCAAATTTGTGGTAATCGTTACAGTAGCCCTAGGACATTAATACACCTGCGCAGGAAAAGACTGTCCCTGTCTGAGTCTACCTGCATCCCTCCCCATCTGAAAGAAACAGGACCATTACATTAAGTGATTGGTGCAATTTAATCCCTAATATAAGATAGTGGATTCCTCATTCAGTGTCTGGTCCTCAGTACTGTATCTCTAAGAACTCATTTTCCTTGCCTCATCTGGCGTGATCAGATTAAAGAGGAATAATACACACTAGCCTAACTCATAAATCACACCACTGATTTATTGGTTTATTCATGAAAATATAAATACTAGAGTCTGCTTACTCAGATCAGCCCCTAAGCACTGCTTTGTCTTGCTTGGGAAATGTAAAGTCAGAAAGAGGCAACGGCTTTATCTTGAGGGCTGATGTTACCAAATCTCATAGCCTGGTGCATTCACCTCCTACCTGGGATTAGAACATTGACATTAGTTAGACAGGTGCTCTCTCTCCTGACTTTGCTGGGACATTCTGGCAAATTCTGCCTTGCAGGTACCACCTTTCTTGAGTCCTTGATGGTTGTCATCCAGCTGTTTCAGCAATATTCCTTCAGGTATGCTACAATGATTCAACGTCCATGTATATATAGTATCTCCTCAGAGCCTTGGGTCACAGTGTCACCAAGAACCCTTGTACACAACCTCTTCCTTCACTCACAGATTCATTCAAGAAACACTATTCAGTACTAAATGCTATACATTGCAGTAGGATATGAGACACAGTTAAGTAAGATGATCTTATTCTTCACAAATTTTATGGTTTTTTAGATTAAAAGCTGCTGTGTATTTCTCCTAGAGAGCTGAGCTCATCTATTTTTTTGTGATTTCCTTTTTTACAGGATAACATTTCCTTACACTTACTGTCAACTTCAGGAATGGTCCAACTGAGCACTTAGAAACCAGTTAAATCAATCCAACGAAATAATCTATCATTCAGACATTAGTCATGTCCTGTTTTGACGATTTTATACAAGTATTAACATTTCACAAGTCTCGGGTGATAAATACCCTAGCATAGAAAGTCTTCCTGATGTTAACATTTCCATAAAACAGCAAAGAGATGGCCATGGCCGTCTGTCAGAGCTGTGCCCTGGGTGGTCCCTTCTGACCAGTAGTTTCATTCTGTAATGGTGATAGACACCGTCACTGAGTGCAACTTACTTTATTCTAATTTTCTCAAGTCCAAAACTCAAGACTATTCCAAGAAATCACAAAATCATGAGCATGCCATGCACGCTACTTTACATACATTGCACATCTAACCAGTGAGCTTCTGGAGTTACGGAGCTATGGCTGTTTTCACCATCATTTTCATAGAAAGACCATGTTTGGTAAACTGTCCTTCTTGATGTGACATTGCTGTGGTATCAATCGGTCCCCATGGTTTGAAAGTTCATGTCAGTCAGAAACTAGTAAAACTAGGAAAGACTAGTGGAAGAGGGATTTTTGTGCGACCTAGGCCAAGTCACTCACCTCTCTTAACTTGTTTCCTTGTTTGTGTTAGTTAAATATTATTTATTTAGCTTTCCCAGTTTTAAAATTCGATGACTCTTTGAGAATCTCTGGAAAATACGATCGCAAAAAATTAAAGCTCTTCTGTTTATTGGTAAGGACTCAGGTCCATCTTATGGAGGACTTCAGAACGATGTTAGACAAATTCCACTTCGAGTAGTTTATCAGGTAGATTCCATAAACAGTCAGCAGATACTGTCCTTGCTTTGTCTTCTTAATGGAAGGGAGAGGCACCATTAAATATAGACACACCCAAACCCCACAACTGCTTTCCTGAAACAACTTCTTTATTTCCATTTTCTGTTTACAAAAAAGACAGACAGGATAGGGGTTGGGGAGGCGGGAAAAATGCTTGGTCACCCCCAGAGAATAGAGGAAGGGGCCAGAGCCGACAAAAATGGAGGGGATTGCCCTTCCCTGCCATTATCGGTGACAGTAGTGACCGAAAAGAAGTCCAAGCACGGACCAAAGGCTTAAGTTAACACGGTCAGTCGGTTTCGGGATAGTCTGAGGATCTGTCCAGTCCACGAACAGGAGGAGGGTCTATTGAGGCCTTGGCTGTGGGCGGGAATGGGCCGGTCTCCTGGGAGATCTCGGCTGCCGGCCCCAGGGCCCATAGGGGCCGCGAGGCGAGTGCCGGGGGAAACCCCTATGGACCACAGGGGCTTGCCACTGATAGGGCACCGGGAAAGGGAGCACGGGTGGCTGAGAGTCAATCATAAAGTCATCTTCAAAGGCAAATCCTGTCTGGGTAGGGGAGGGGACATCTGAATGGAAGTAGTTGGAAGAGAACTGATCCGACTGGAAAGGCTGGTCTGAGGAAAAATACGTATGTTGGGGATAGCACAGGACCCGCGGCATCGCCTGCTGAAAAGGATAGGGACGAGGATGTGGGGACAAGGGCAGGCGGGGAGGCGGGGGCAGAGGGGGACTCGGGAGGAGGGAGCTGCCCCTAGGAGGCGGCAAGGCCCGCGGATCTCTGCTGGCCTGCCCCGGCCTCTCACCTGCCGCGCCGGGTCCTCCCCGGATCCCCGGGGCCACGCGGTCGCGCCGAGGCAGCTCCACGCCCCAGGCGTCGGCCACGTGCGCCAGCAGCAGCTGCGAGAGGTGGCGGTGCGCGCGCTCGTCCCAGTGCACGCCGTCGCGCTGCAGGTGCTGCTCCGCGTGGCGGAAGTGGAAGTGCAAGTCCAGCACGTCGAAGCCGTGTTTCTTCGCCTCGGTAGAGCTGTGGAAGTTGGCTTCGATGACTTGGCCTCTTAGGGAGTTATTCCCGGGCTGCTGCTTGTGCTGCAGGAAGCCCGCTGTGATCCGCTTGCCCACGGGCATGGCTGTGTTCCACACCAGGAGGCACGACTCGGGCAGCACCTGGCCCAGGAGCCCGAACAGGCTCTCCAGGTTCTTCAGGTAGCTCTGCCAGGAGTCCGGGCCGTACCTGGAGAGGTCCCAGAGGCAGGAGTTCATGATGATCACATCCGGGAGGCCGTGCTCGCTGGACTGCAGCTCTTGCAGGATGGCCTCCAGGTAGGGGGAGTACACGCGTGTGAGGAAGTAGAAGCGCACCAGGTGGTGGTCGTCGCAGAACTGGCGGACCTCCCGGTACTGGACGCCATTGTGCATGGGGCCCATCTGGCCTCCGTCCACCAGCTTGTCCTTTTCGAAGGTCTCCTCCCCCTTGGCCTTGAGCTGGTTGGTAGTGAGCAGGCAGTCCTTCTGCAGCAGGAGCACCAGGTCCTTGTACACGGCCCTCTGGACGGAGTCTCCCAGGATGACCACGAACTTGTTGTGGAGCAGCTGCTGCACTTCGGAGGCCTGCAGGTGGATCATGACGCCCAGGGTGCGCGGCCTAGGTTTTTCCTTTACGCGCGGCAGGTCTTCAGACTGCTAGGACGGAAGGAGAGAGTGGCTGGGAGCGACCCCCCCCTCCCCTCCCCGGAAGGCTCTCGGCGTGGGCAAGCCTCGGGGAAGGGGACGGAGAGTTGGCCTGGGAAGTCCACGCCCTTAAGCCCGGGAGTGGGAAGAGAGCAAGAAGGGAGCAGGAGCCATAAGCCCTGCTTGGCCGGGCCTCACCTTGACCTGTGAACCCCTGCCCCGTGGCTCTTGGGAGGCCCAAGTTCCACCAGGTCAGAAGCGGCCAACCCCACAGGCCCTCCCCTGGCTGGAGGAGAAACTGGCCCTGGGAAGGCAGCTCAGGTGTCTGACCCCTGGAGAACGAGGAGGCAGACTTTGCAGCTGCTTAACAATGAGGACTGTGAGTGAGCAAGAACGCCCAGAATGCTGTGATATGTTAAACTGAAGAAGTTACATGTCACATGTGAGCCCTATGTCACTGAAACTATAGGAAATAGATAACACGGAAAGAAAATATGCAAAAACATAGCTTTTAAGAGAAATGTGGGATTATGGATGGCTTGCCTTCCCTCCTTTTTTGGAAATATACTTTATATAAATTGTATGTTTCTTTTAATAACTTAAAAAGAATCAGTGAAATGTAACAAACAACAGAAAGGAAAAGTATGGGGTGCCTGGGTGGCTCAGTCAGTTAAGCATCTGCCTTCAACTCGGGTCATGAACAGGACTTGTAAAAAAGGGCAATAACACTTGGAAATAGTTCACATGTTACAGCTGTAATATTCTTTGCTTTCCATAGGAAGATGATCAGAATATGCCATCCCCAAATATGCCATTTTGGCATAAGGATCATTTTGGGCTGAAGGCAACCAAGAATCAACAGACACAGGAAGAGTTCCCGGCCTAAAAGCAGTGTATAAATTTCCCTTTGAGGCAGGTGCTCCTTCTCCCACCAGGAAGAGAAGAGTCAAGGAAGAAGACAGGGAGCTGTCAACACCAAGATGAGTTTGCATAAACCGACTTTACTAAAAAAGAGCCCCAATTTTCCATTAGTACCCTCATATATTTCCGAGTTGTCCCCACATTTCATCATCCCATGAAACCCAAACCCCTTTTCCTTTATTAAGATGATATATAAGCCCCTGAATCTGCTTTTTTGAGTTTCTATTCTGTGAACTCCTGTGCACATAAATATTAATAAAAATTGTGTGCTATTTCTCCTTTTAACTTGTCTTTGTTTAATTCACAGGGCCCCAGACACTGAACCTAACAGGGTAGAGGCAAAATTTTTCCTCCTGAGCACATTGCATAAAACGTCAAGAGTTGTGAAACTCATCTTCAAAACTTCAGTTTATTTTAAAGCTGTCATTTACAACCATATCCATTAATGAACAAAAGGTAACAACAACACTTCAGTATCACCAACAGATCTCAGATGGGGAGGAACATGGCATCCACTTCATACACTTAGAAGCCAATAGAATCCATTGTGGCTTGATATTCGTAGGCTTTTATGCATCAGTAAGCATTTTAATAGGGGTGGTGGATAGCTATTATTAAATTACACAGTTTTTAAAAGCTATACTATTTGTGGTTTTAAACAAGTACAAAAATAAAAACATGAAAATGGGTAGTCTGTAAGAGTTGCCCTAAGAGAACAGTTGAAAATAGTGACTTATTTTTCCCCAAAGAATCTTCATTTACATGATTTTGTTATCAGAAAAAAAGATAGAGCTCATTGTGGTACAACAAAATAAAACCTTAAGCAAACTCCAAATCCCTTTGGAGCTCAGGCACGTGTTCCTTTGTTTGCAATCATTTCTCACACTTGTTAAGTGTCTACTCAGTGCCCCACCGAGGGGATATAAAAATAAGTAAAACCTGGTCGTGCCCTTCAGGAGCAGATAGAGTGCTAAGTGCCATGAACATAGAAGGAACAGGTGCTGCAGACTTTCAGGGTCTTTGCGAACAAACAGTGCCCCCCTGCCCTAGACCCCAGGCTCCAAAGTACAAAGTGAAGGGGGAAACCTCCTCCCAGAGTTTCTCAGGATGCTCTCTCTGGGCTGGCACTCTGCTCCCATCGTGGGTCTCGTCCCTATATGATATTGAACACCATCCCCTTCCATTAGAGTTCTCTCCCTGCGGTGGGTGGGCAGATCCAATAACCCGGTGGCTCTCCAGGCAGGGTACTTTCTTTGCTGGGCCCAGTGCGTTCCTTCTCCTGGGTGTGAAGTGCTCTAGACTGGGACTCACAGGTGGGAGTCCAATCCACTACTTAAAAGCTGTGGGAAATAGAGGCACTGAAGTATACCCGTGAAGAGCACTGCTTTTAGAGCAACACTACTTGGGTGTGAATCCCAACTATTCTATTTGCCAGCTCTACTTGCCACTTACTTAGCCTTTCTCTGCCTCAATTTTCCTCATCTGTAGAATGGGACTTTGAGTGCCCACTTCACAGATTTCACGTGAGGACTAAATGTAAAATGGTTAGAACAATGCCTGGCAAGTAATAAGCATGGATAAGGGTTAGTTATTATAATTACTGAGCAAGTTTCAAAACACCAGGTTAATCATCTATAAAAGGGGGAGGAGGATTTACAATGTTTGCACCCCACTTGTCTAGCAGGGTTCTGTGATGACCACATGAGATGATCCGAGTGAAAGATTTTGAATAAAGCAAAACTAATGTTTGTTGAATGGCTACTGGATGCCAGTTGCTTTACAAAGGTAATCCTATTTATGAGACAATCTTTATTATTTCCATTTTATAGAGAAGGATATCGATGTGATGGAGCTAAAATTTAAAACCACCGACGCCAAAGTCTGTCTCTGTAGGGAGACATCCTTTACAGCAGAGACATCCTCTATAGCAGAATGCCCTGCAGGCTGGTCTGAATCGAAAAGCTTGGCTCCTGTCAGGGAGATATTTGAAGACAAGATAGAAGAGTGCTTTGGTGTGTGGCAGGCAGGCAACCATTTCCTCTGCCTGCCCAGGAGAGGTGGTTTATGTGTACTGGGGGCGGGGAGCAGGGGCCTATGAGTGACAGTATACATATTTCATCCCATACCTTGATCTCTACCAACAGACAGGCAAAAAATAAGTGACCTGGATTTTAGAATAACCAAAATACAATTCTGCAGACTCCCAGTGTTTGAGGAATCCTGGCTGCCCTGTATCCCCCCACCAGTGAACTTAACCCACCCAGATGCTGCTCCAAGAGCTCAGAGTCAAAACTGGGCAAAAATTTCTCACTGTTCTTCTGAGGTGGAACAGGAGAGCAGATCAGACTGTGGAAAAGAAGGGAGGAGGAAATGACTGGAAAGAACACTCTAGTTAGAAGTTAAACTGAAAGGAAATTCATGAAATTCTTGATAAAGAGCACCACGACTGTAACAGATTAACAAATCAGACATCCCCCCCCCCCCCGGACTATCACCCTGGGAAAGAATTCTTTAAGCTAAGATACCAAGCACTTAAAAACAAAGTGACTTTTTTGGGGGGGGGGGGCGGATGGTAAATGAAGAATAATTGAGAGCTAAATCTAAAAGAAACGTTGGTAAGTTCCATTTTCAAAGCTCTTTTGATTTCCAAAAAATGAAACAAAAGGGGGATTTGAAAACAGATTACTGGTCTTTTGAACCTAGGCTTCTTTTTTTGCTTCAAATTTGCTCAACTCACCTATTTGTTTTGGTAGCTATTTTATAGATAGGAGTAACTCATTCACTCATTCAGGAAAGATCATTGCGAACCCGATACTGTACTAGGTGGAAGGACTACGTGTAAAAAGGCAGTCTCTTCTCTCAAGAGCTGCAGCAAGGAAATGGGACAGTAAGAGGCAAACACTAAAGAAGGTGCTAGCAGCTATGAAGGATGTATGCAAATGAAGCACCAAAGCCAGCTGGAGGAGTCAAGAGGGAGGGAGGAAGTATACCAGTGATCCTTGCAATCTGTGATTCCAACCTCAAATTAACACCTTTTTTTAAAAAAAAAAGTTTCATGATGATTCCTGAAATCATAATTTTAAGTTAGTTCCATGCTTTGTATTTGGACTTTGACTAAAGCTCTGACAGAAACATGCATTACTAATGGCTACTACTATAATAAATGACTTTCAAGAATTTTGCTTAGATTTCTTTGTTTGGGGGTAATTAATTTATTAATAGCTCCATAAGCCATGACTTATAAATCATTGACTATTGCTGTGTAACTATCACAAACCAAACATGTAACATTTGCTTTTCACTAATCAATGTGTTGTAGAAATTAATTTTTTTTTCTTTTCTTACTGATCTTTAGTTACAGGAAGACAGACACAGAAATAGATCAGCTGCTCTAGAGACCCTGCAGTAAAGTCTTAAATCAGAGGTGGTCACTAATGATTAGGATGTTGTTTTGATTAGTTGTAGGAAGTGCTTGTAGCTAGTTTAAAAGTTTCTTGCATAAGACTAACCATCTTAATGCAACATTACCCCAGGAATATAAATAGTTCATTTCCTTCTAACTGCATTTTGGTAATCAAATTAATGTTTTGAACTTTCCAAGATCCCCTTACATTTAATGGACTAGATATTTGTACCATCTTGTACAAATACAATTATTTTTCAGGAATTCACCTCAAGGTCTTGGCATTTGCTAGGTTTTCTAAGTGGGCTTTAAACTTGTCAAAAATTAAACTGCAGGCCATATAAAGTTTTCAAAGAAGAAAAACAATTCAAACTTCTCTTTGGGAAAGCTTGACGAATGGCCTGAGGTTTGCTGGTTCTCAAGAGATTCATCTTTTGCTCTGAGCCAAATCAGTTAACACACTCTTCTATAGAACACAAAAAAGGGGGAAAGAATGCAGGTCTACTATTTTAAAAAGTGGTTTTAGGAGTAAATTTTAAAAAACACATAAAAGTACTGTGAGGTGCTATGGTAAATAATGCAAATTATTTGCAACTATCAGCCAGGAGAAAGTCTGAGTCTAATCCCCCCA